GTTGAACTATATTTTTTTTGGTGGCGGGGGTTTCTTCTTGAAATTGCTAAAACAAACATCCAATGGGTCTTTGTTGCTCCCTTTCTGTTGTTTAAATGGTTGACTTATGAGACTTCTCTTGTACCCAAAATGAGGAGGGAAAATTACAAAGAGAAGTAGATTAACATTGTAGGTGATTCCTCGTATATGCTTTCAGCGATATCTTTCATTTTCTCAACAACATGTTTTAATATTTTTCATTTATGGAGTTAGTAGTTGAAGAGGGATAGAGTAGTTTAGGGATAGATCGCAAATAGCATTTTTGTCCTCCATGAATTGAGTAGTGTGTTATTAAAGAAGTTGACACTTAGCAAGCCCCATCTAATGCATATACGAGAAAGTTGTCTGCAAATTGTCAATAAGTATATGCAGCTAAATATTTTCCAATGGACCATAAATTGGATGATAATATCAAAATCACTTTTATTGCTTTTATTAGAAGTATGAGTAACATGTATTGATTTATATAAGGAAGACATTATCTTGTAAGGAGAAATTTTTAAAACAGTCTTATTCCCTAATTTATTCCCAAAATTCGATCCATTTCATTCTTACTTAGTGAAATCGACCCAATTTCTGGCCACGTCAACGTCATGTTCAGAAACTTGGGTCATTTAAAAAAAATAAACTTCTAATTAGTCGGGGTTGGCACCCCGACTAATCAGAAGCCGCTCTAAGGGGTTGCCAACCAAAATGGTTGGGGTTGCCAACCCTGACTATTTGGAGGACTAATTTTGTCACGCTCCGCTTCCTAAAATACCGGGGAATCGAAACGTGAACAAGCCCGCGACGTATTAGACTGAGGAGAAATGTACTAGACCTTCTACTCTATCTAATACGCTAAGCGTCAAGCAATATAAAACGAAGTCACAAGTCTCCGATCACAGTAGCAAGAATATAATAAACAACTCAGAACCAAAAGATACATATCACAACTGAAATAATCATCCAGACATAATATTCAGGCCAAACATGCCCTTATACAAAACTATCTGAATGAAATCCTGGAAAAATATAAAATACATCGATCGGGCGGAAATAGAAAGTACTGCAAAAGTAAACTAGGGTCATCAACTAACTAAAAGAGATAACTAAGCTTTGACTTGTTCTTCTGCTCCGTCTGCAAAGTCTTCATGCGGAGGATCCTCTGTCTCTTGTACTACTCCAAACTGTAGCTGTACGTCCTCTAAATCTGACGTACATCCCGAGAGAAAAGGAGTACGTCAGAGTGCATGGCACACAGCAAGATCCCACAAGGAAGAATAGAAACAGTTGAACGACCAATGCAATAATAGTAATAATAAATAGGAGCATGGTACTAGAATTCTAATAATCTAAATGCAATCTATCACTAGAATATGATAATCAGTAGAATCTAAAAATCAATCGGGTAACGAGGTCATGCAGCTAGCGATCAGGATAAATCATCCAAGTAACAGAGTCATACCACTAGATAGAATTAATACTTAAAAATCTATAACTCTAGATGTAGTACGTCGAGCAAAATAATCCAAATAAGAAAACTCTCATGTATATACCATATGTCTCAAATTGTAGAGTAGTACGTCGAGCAAAATAATCCAAATAAGAAAACTCTCATGTATATACCATATGTCTCAAATTGTAGATAATTAAATATTAATAAATAATCCAAATAAGAAAACTCTCATGTATATACCATATGTCTCAAATTGTAGATAATTAAATATTAATCCCGATCTAGGTATGAAAAGAAATATAATTGGTCTGTATCTCACAAGAATCCATAATCATCCAAGTAATAAGGTCATGTAACTAGTCATTCTATAACAAGTCACTGGTCCATATCTCACATAGAGTCAACGTTCATATTATCGGATAACTGATTGTTCGCGTATCCCTTATGTGCACCCAATATGCCGCTACACAAGATCGGTCAGAGGGTTACACGCAATCCGATTTCAGCCTGGTCTGAACTCAAGCTAAACTCGGGTGAATGTCAAATTCACGGACCAAAGTGACTACACAAGCTTCACTTTGACCGAACAAATCAACCCCAATGCTACACGAGATCATGAGGCGAGCCTGGAAGATACATCAACAGCCACATCCGATCACATGAACAAAGACTTTCCCATCCCAACTCTTCTCGTTTTTCTAAGTCAACACAACACATGTCTCTAGGTGCACGCAAGGTCATTACGATCATGACTACTAACGGTTCTAAATCACAACAAGAAATAACAAATACGACTGATCATGTACAACAATATCATGGCATGCCAAGTAATCAAGATTAAGAGTCATAAATTTATGAACAACTAAGTAATTTAGAAAATAATTCATTTTCCAAAATAAATTCTTTTAAAATTATTTCTCATTATAATAATCCAAAATATTCTCTTTTTCCAGAATAAATTCTTTAAATTATTTTCTCATATACTAATTCAACATAAACCCTTTTTCAAAATAACCCCTTTTAAATTATTTATTATTATAATAATTCAAAATAATCCATTATTCCAAAATAAACTCTTTTAAATAATTTTAAAAATATTCTTTAAGTATTCTTTTTAATATTCCCTCTTCCAAAATAAATTCTTTTCTCATTATAATAATAATTCTAAAAATAATCTTTAACTATAATAATCTATTAATTCAAATAATCTCAGTTATTCTCATCTATCATCAAACAATTCACGCAGATAATAACTAATCACAATCTAATCTATGCAACTAATTAATGACAGATATAAATATGAAATGACGAGTCAAGAGAAGCAGGATCTTGCCTCGGGGTATTGTTGAACGATTCGACGTTACCGTGCGAGGCTATGGGTCTACGGATGAGATGGTGACACCGCTGTTTGTTGTTCATTGTTTCGACGATGCGCACGGTAGGGGCTGAACTGAACGGAGACAGTGTAGGCTGAGGTTCTGGTCGGAGGTTGAGCGGCGTCGCTGCAGGGAATGACGGTGACGAAACTGGAGCAGATCCAAAGAAGGATCTGAAGGGGAGGCGACGACGGTATTTGACAGTGGTGGAGAGGAGCCATGGTGGAGGGGGAAACGGTGGCGCTGAGGTGGTTGGGCGGTGGCTCAGGCGGTGGTGGTGAGCGATGGCGGAGCCGAGGCTAGATCTGGTGTCGGCGGTCGGCTCGGAGCGGCGGGGAGAGGTTGAAGGGCTAGAGCTCAAGGGAAGCACGGGCTAAGGGGCGACGAAGAGGAGCACAATCTGAATTGGGTTGTGATCCGCGCCGACGGATGGATGTAGGGCCACGGTGGCGCCTGGGGAAGGATCGAGATTCGGCGAATCGGCGGCCGAGCCGGGGCTAAGATTTGGAGTGCGCGCGCGGGGGCGTGCGAGGGAGTCCGAGCGGGGGTTCTGATGGCGCGGGGTGGTCGGTGGTGTTGAGGGAGGAGTGTTAGATCTAATAATTTGAGATCTAAGTCATAAAACCATGATTAATTCAAAGAGATTAACAAGAATCAAAAGGTACAGAAGCATATACCTGAATCCATTGAGGAAAACCTGATTAGGGTTTTGATGATCTTCTAACCTTAAGGTTTCTCTCCATAATGATCTCTTTAGATGGGGATAAGAGAATAAGAGTGGCTAACCCTAGATTAGGGACCATAACCCCATATATATAGGCGTTGTACATTTATAATTTGGCCCCTCATCAAATTATAATTACAACCTGGTATCTGTACATATAAACCCATGATTTATTTAAATACCCATTAACCCAAATTAATTGATCACTTTAACTGGGTTATCCTTAAAGATAGCAATACACATTGATTAATTATATGTGCCCACAATTAGATTTAATTAGTGATGCGGCATAATTATGTACCAAAATTGCAAGTGCACAATTTATCAAGTTATAGTATAAAAAGATATCGATCCCACGAGGAATGTGATTTTAAGAGATTATTAGAAATGGTTCTTATGTTTTGTGCATGACAATTAGGAATAAAGAATAAGTGTGATTGTGATGAGTGGTTGTTTTGATTTATGTGCAAGAGATAATAAATTGAATTTTAGAGAAAAAGAATTAAAGAATAAATGAAATCACAAGGCAAGAAAGAAGAATTAATAAAATCAAGAAATAAACTAAGAATGAAAAGAAAATTTAAGAAAGTCAAGATGGAGGATTCAAAAGAGGTAAGAAATCTAGAATATAATCCACTAACCAATTTCAATTACAAAATATAAACTATTCTCTTTTTATCATATTTCAACTTAGATTTATTAAGCATAGATTATCAAATCATTTAAGAAAAGTGTAACCTATCAAATTATCATCTAAGTCAAAATTACTATTCATGATAAGAACAACAACATGATAATAATCCTAGAATTCATAAGCATAACCTATCAAACCATTTAAGATAAGCATAGATTATCAAATTCTTTTTCTACCGATTAGTTCTCTAGTTGATTATCCTAAACATGAACATTTTAAGTGCAAGAGAATAATTCATACAATCTAATCTAATACTATTATAAAAGTGGATTGGCATGTTAAAACATTTTTTCCAAAAATGCCCTCCAAACCACATACATACAAACATAAAACACATGCATCCATACATATAAACACATACATATATATGCATACATTCTAATAATGTCATAACTCTCCTATTAATTGTCCACTAATATTAACTTCTAATTTTTGTAACCCCTCCACTAATCCAATATTAATTTCATCATTAGGATAAAGGTACAAATTGTCTCTAGCCTTTTCGTTCTTCACTTATAAAAATTGAGGACATACATTTATTATTTTGAAAACTGAAAATTATTTCCACTATCGTTACACTCATTTACACTTATCAATGGTGCATGATTACAAATGAAAATTTTAGTTTAGAATTTAAAGGTCATGT